ATGATCTTTACTTCTTCTTTTAAGAAGCAGCAACATACGCTGCGGTGGCGGTGGCGCGGAGCACAGAGCGGCTCACTCATTCCCCGCCGCCATCTTCCCAAAATTCCTGGTCTGATTTATTTTAATGAGCATGCTTTCAAGGTTCATTCAAGTTGTAGTATGTAACAGAATTTCATTCCTTTTAAAGGTGACTATTATTCCACAGTAAGTATACATCACATTTTGTTTATCCATCATCTGTTGGATATTTGGGTCGTTTCCAACTTTTAGCTATTGTGAATAATGCCTCTATGAACATTGGTATATAAGAATTTGTTTGTATCCCTGCTTTTCATCCTTTTGAGCTTATATTTGGGAGTAGAATGATCATATGGCAATTATATTTTTAACTTTTGAATAACTGCCAAACCATTTTCCAGAGCAGCTGCACCATTCCACACATCCACCAATGATGTAAAAGTGTTTTGATTTCTCCACATCCTCACCAAGACTGGTTATTTTCATTTTTTTAATAAAAAAATATATGAAGCCAGGTGTGGTGGTACACAGCTATAATCCCAGGGAGGCTGAGGCAGGAGGATTTCAAGTTCAAAGCCAGCCTCAGCAACTTAGCAAGGCCCTAAGCAACTTAGTGAGACTCTGTCTCAAAATAAAAAATAAATGGGGCTAGAGATATGGCTCAGTAGTTAAGCATCCTAGGTTCAATCCACAGTATCCTTCTCCCCAAATTGTTTAAAAATATATATAACAAAATTCATCATTGTGTCAATCTGGCTGAACCATGGTGCCCAGATAATGGTGAAATGTTATTCTGCATGTTTTTGTGAAGGTGTTCTTGGATGGCATTAACATTTAAATTGGTAGGTTTTCAGTAAAGCAGATTGCTCTCCATAATGTGGGTAGGCCTCATATAATCAGGTGAAGGCCTGAACAGAACAAAAAGACTGACCTTCTCTGAACAAGAGTGTATTCTGGCTGGGCGCTGTGGTGCACGCCTGTAACCCCAGTAGTTTTGGAGGCTGAGACAGGAGGATCATGAGTTCAAAGGCAGCCTCAGCAAAAGTGAGGCACTAAGCAACTCGGTGAAACCGAGTCTCAAAATGTAAAATAGGGCTAGGGATGTGGCTCAGTGGTTGAGTGCCCCTGAGTTCAATCCCTGGTACCTGCCTCCCCCACAGAAAAGTATATTCTGTAGTAGTTTTTCGTCTTGAACTGCAACAGTGGATCTCTGCTGGGGCTATAGTCTGATAACCTTTAGGCTTGAAATATAACATCCTTGGGTCTCCAGCCTACTAGCTAATACTAGAGATTCTGGAATTGCCAGTCTCTACAATTGTGTCAGCCAATTCTTTTTTTTTTACCTTTTTATTTTTATTTTTATTTGTTTATTTTTTTATTGGTTGTTCAAAACATTACAAAGCTCTTGACATATCATATTTCATACATTAGATTCAAGTGGGTTATGAACTCCCATTTTTACCCCAAATGCAGATTGCAGAATCACATCGGTTACACATCCACATTTTTACATAATGCCATATTAGTAACTGTTGTATTCTGCTACCTTTCCTATCCTCTACTATCCTCCCTCCCCTCCCCTCCCCTCCCATCTTCTCTCTCTACCCCATCTACTGTAATTCATTTCTCTCCTTGTTTATTTTCCCATTCCCCTCACAACCTCTTATATGTAATTTTGTATAACAATGAGGGTCTCCCTCCATTTCCATGCAATTTCCCTTTTGTCTCCCTTTCCCTCCCACCTCATGTCTCTGTTTAATGTTAATCTTTAAAACAGATCCTTTAGACTGTACTTTTCTCACCTTCAATTATCATTACCTTCAAGTTCACTGAAATGAACTCCAAGTTTTTCTTGTTGTTGTTGAATGTGTTTAGTAAATTTTTTATTTTAATAATCTGTATTTTTTCAGCTCCAGAATTAGCTCTTTTCCTTCTAATAATTTTTATCTCTTCACTGCTATACTCATTTTGTTCTTACATTGTTTACCTGATTTCCTCTCATTCTTTATGCATGTTTTTATTTATTTATTTATTTATTGGTACTGGGGATTAAACTCAGGGACACTTGACCACTGAGCCACATCCCCAGCCCTATTTTGCATTTTATTTAGAGACAGAGTCTCACTGAATTGTTTAGCATCTCGATTTTGCTGAGGCTGGCTTTGAACTCACAATCCTTTTGCCTCTGCCTCCTGAGCTGCTGGGATTATAGGCTGTGCCATTGCACCTGGCCATTTTCCTTTATTTTTAAAGCATATTTAAGATTGTTGTTTGAACATCTTTCTCTAGTAAGTTCTATATCTGGGCTTCCTCAGGCTAATTTTTGTCAATTTATTTTGTCCTTTTGAATAGACCATTTTTTTTGTTTTTCTGTATAGCATTGTAATTTTCTTATTGAAAATTGAGCATTTAATTACTTAAGTTGTAAATCATATTCTCTATCTTCCCTAGGTTAATTTTTGTTATTATTCAAAGTTATAGTGATATGTGTGTTTTAGAACTTTTTTGAACTTTACAAAGATTATTCCTTGTCATGTATATCCACTGGTGTCTTTGTTCCTTTAGCTCATGTTCAGCTAATGTTTTGACAGAGATGTCCTTGAATGCTAGGAGCTCTCCAAATCTTTGCATATTTGCTCTGTGCCTTCTAAGGTTGTTTCTGAGAATACATCCTTCCTTATTATGCTTGTGTCTTTTTTTTTTAGTTGTAGTTGGACACAATACCTTAATTTTATTTATTTTTATGTGGTGCTGAGGATCGAACTCAGTGCTAGGTGAGCGCTCCACTGCTGAGCCACAACCCCAGCCCCCATGCTTGTGTTTTTTTCAGCTTTTCCCAGAGGACTGAATTTCTCTAAGTTCCTCACAGCTCTACAAGTAGTACCTGCTGCCTTCCCTTTCTTAGATCACATGAGGCAAAGATGAGTGCCTTGCATCATTTAACTATCCCCCATGTAGGATAGAACAGGTGTGCACAATAATTTGCAAATAAGGTGTGTTCTGCTTCTTTTTGTTTAAGGGAAGAACTGAGAACCTGTGTTGCTTCTTCAAGACCAAATCTGCCAACCACTTCAGTGGGAAGGACATGGATCAAGGGCAAGTAAAACATCACAAAACATCCTATTATTTTAAAGGTAACTTTTTTTTTAAAGAGAGAGAGAAGAGAGAGAGAATTTTTAAATATTTATTTTTTCAGTTTTTGGTGGACACAACATCTTTATTTTATTTTTATGTGGTGCTGAGGATCGAACCCAGCACCCCGCACATGCCAAGCGTGTGCATTACCGCTTGAGCCACATCCCCAGCCCTTGAAGGTAACTTTTTTTGATTGTGTATTTGTTTGGTTGCTGTTAATCTTTGACTATTTTCCAGACTCTGGCAAAGTTGGTTCAGATAGCTCCTACTTGTTTTTTTTTTTTTTTTGAGGGGGAGTTGTTTTGTTTTGCTTTTTATGTTTATTTGAGGAAAGAGGGCCTACAGCTTCCTATCATACAGTTTTGCAGCTGTTATTCAATACCTCTACTATTACAATGCATTGAACAGTTGCACTCTGAACTTTTCTTCCATTAGTGAAACTCCCTTTTTGCTTTACTGAGCCACTGTTGATTGTAGGGTCTTTTATATCAGTCATTGAACTATTGGTGGAGTATAAGGAAAAAAGAGTTATTGTTGGCAAATGCAACAGATTGACCCACATTGCATTAACAAACTCTTCTACATCTTTACCTTTTGTACAATAATCTTTCTCCTTCCCTTTCACTTAAAAATCTAGCTATTTCCCAAGGATTTGTCACCTGAATTACAACTCATTCAGTTACTAGGGTCACAAAGTTTATAAAGGCTTTCATGTATATGGATAAAGTCAACCAAAAACAAAACCAGAAACGAACAAAAACCAACCAACCAACCAAACAAAAAAACCAAACCAAAAAACTGTATTATTAATCTCAATAATTTCCTGAAGGTGGCAGCCAAGTTCTACAAACTAGAACTGTAGTAGTGTCTAGGCTTCCTTCCCCTCCAGATTTGCAGAATAAATGTTTCCAAGGAGAATAGATATAAAATGCTTTTCAGCAACCTTCCAGCATTGATTATGATCCTTAAAATAATTGTTTGTCAGTGTGATAGGTTAAAACTAGCATCTTGACAACGTTTTAGTTTTCATTTCTTTGATAATTAGGGAGGCTAAACATATTTTTGTGTTTCAAAGCATTTCTCTTCTTTAAATGATTTTCGTATTCTTTACCCTGTATTTATATTGGGATTCAATTTTGTAGTCTTCACCTTTTCTCATTATGAAAATAATATGTTCACACTGTCGAGATTCAAATGAACTTAGAAGAAATTTTCAAACATTCACATTAATAATATCAGAGACAACAACTTTAATGTTTAGATACATTTTTACTAGCTCCCCCCATCTGTTTAGTTAGTTATATTTTTCACATTTAACATAATTTTTCTCTATAACCTGCTTTTAAATATAATTGTATGGTGATATTTCCCTATGCCATTAATAATTCTTGTGTATATTTAAAAATAGCTTTAGTTTTTGATTTTAAAAATTATTCATGATCACTGTTGACAATTTGGTAGGTACAGGAAAATTTAATATGGACAACAATGTATATTCCCTCAACCTATGGATAACTATTATGAAGCTTTTTTTTAGTTGTATCACTAGCCCTTATGTATATTTTGAAATCACCAGGTAAAAATTAGCCCTACATTTAGAGTAATTTCAAAAAATGAAGTAGCATTCATATTCCTTATTATCAAACTTTTGATGTATTTTCCCAACCATTTTTCTGTGCAAGTATTGCACATTTTTATTTTATTGGCATCATACAGTAATGTATATTTTACATGTATTATTTAGTTGTATATACATGCCACTCAAACAATTTTCCAAGGGTATCTTTTATGCTCTATAATAATTTATTGTTTAATCACATATATTCCATTTCTATGAATATTGAAATTCCCCCCCCATTTCACTATTAGAAGCTATGCTGTAAAGAATTTTTGAGTATAAACATCTTCTGCATTTCTGATTTTTACCTTATTAAGAGTCCCCAGTGTGGAATAACTGAGAAAAATGTTTTGACCATTTTATCAAATACCATAGAAATTTAGATTTATGTAAATGGTTCTTTCTTTGTATCCTAGATAATATTTAATAGTTTCATTCTTAGTATTTATACTTTTTAAGGTTGGAAACTATGCCCTAATATTGTATTAATTTAAAAATCTATTAATTTTTTTCAAGTTTATTAGGAACCTGATGAATTTTTTTATATCCATTTCTTATTTATTATGTTAAATAATTCTTTAAAATCTTTTGTTTCCTTGTATTACCTTATATATATTAATATTTAAATTAGAGATAAGTTTCCTTTTAGATTGCTTTATGATGGAATGTCTTCTAAATTATATATATATAATATATATATTATATATATGAACATATGTATTTCATTTTGTCGGGTTATAAATGTAATTACTGATTATTGTTAAGTTATTAAAATATAAAATTTAAAAAAAATATTTATTTTTTAGGTGTAAATGGACACAACACAATGCCTTTATTTTTATGTGGTGCTGAGGATCGAACCCAGGTTCCCCCCGTGCTAGATGAGCGGTCTACCACTGAGCTACAATCCCAGCCCAAAATATAGAATTTTTAAAAAGAGAAATGAAAACCAACAGATATTTGCAGATAACGCATTGATATTTAGTGTATTGTTTTACATTGTTCAGAGAGAAAGAAACATTGAAATCATGGTCTAATTCTTAGAGGTAGGATTTAAATTTAGTGTGGTCTAACCTGGGATTATAGGTTTTATAATGTGGTAAATTAAGTCCTCCTCTCAGAATCAGATATGCTTCATATAAAGATCCAAAACCATGTGTACTACTCTACTCACAGAGTTTTGTTAACAGTATAGGAGTGGCAATAAACACATCAGCTATAACCATCAAAGACCCTCCTAATTATGGTAGTAAGAACAACAATATTTATTGAATTCTTGGTATATGTCAGGCACTGAAACCACAACTTTACATAAATAACTCATTTAATTCTCACAATAACTCTCTGAAGTATGTACTATTATTAGCCGCATTTTATAGATGGGGAGATCAAGGCATAGCTGGAGTAGCAAAGAGATCCCAGGAACTGAGCTATCCAGATGCAAATCTGAGAGCAGAGAAACCTTATGTTCATCACATTTTGGAGATAATTACTCTTATCAAGATAGATATTTCTTTTTTTAAAATCTTTATTTTTCATTTTTATGTGGTGCTGAGGATCGAACCCAGTGCCTCATGCATACAAGGCCAGTTGTCTACCACTGAGCCAACCCAAGGTAGATATTTCTTTATGTCAGAAGGTACAAAGGTATATAGGGGATAGGAATAGGAAAGACAGTGGAATTAGTCTGACATAGTTTTCCTATGTACATATGAATACACTACAATGAATCTCACTATCATGTACATCCACAAGACTGAAATCCTAATTAAAATAAAATATATCACATGCTTATATAAATATATCAGAATAGATTGTACTGTCATGTGTAACTAAAAAGAACTACTAAAAAATAAACAGATGCATTAATGACATTTTGGTAGAAAAAAGAGTATTAGGAAGCCTAGGCATCTGGTGGAGAAGGGAAGAATAGAAGTAGTGGTTTGGGAGTTGAAAGTGATTAGGGAGGAAAGTAGGGTATTCAAAGACAAGCTATATTTACTGTTCAAGTCATTGTTTTCTGAATGAAAATAATTATTTGCTAAAATTAAAATAATTATATTTTAAAAATTTAAATAATTTTTAAAATTATAAAATGTGATGACTGAAACTAGGGGAAATGGATACTCATAGTTGATGAAAGAATATAAGTTGGACAAAATCTCTCAAGCTAATATTGGTAAGTGTCAAAAATTTAAAAAGTTTATTAAATATTTGTTGAGTAACTTCTTTGTGCCAAGCAATATGCACACTGAATTCATTTAAATATTGTATTATATTTAATGAATAAAATTGTCACAGGTCTAAAAGTTGGATTTGAGTGTAGTAGAAAACTTGTCATTTTCTTTCAGAATCCCAAATGTGCACATTCCCTTGGACCAACATTTCCACTGATAGAATAAATATTCTCTAGGTGTATATGCATTTTTCTAAATGACATATGTCTAAGGTTATTCTATGCAGGATTTTTGTTTACAATATAATATATTAGAGAAAAACAATTTAGATGAAGATCTTTATGTTTTACTGTTCATTTAATATTAGTAAAGCAGGGGAGGCTAAACACACATTGTATATATTTGGATATTCATATAATATATGTGGGAAAGAACGCATAGAAACTAATACAAGTTGAATGAAGTCCATCTCCCTTTTATGTTCTTTTTTAAAAAATATTTTTTAGTTGTAGATGGACACAATACCTTTATTTTATTATTTTATTTATTTACATGGTGCTGAGGAGCCAACCCAGTGCCTCACACGTGTAAGGGAAGCATACTACCACTGAGCCACAATCCCAGCCCCTCCCTTTTATGTTCTAATTGAAGAGTGATTTATGGAGCTTATGTGTACTAGATAACTGGAAGAAGACTGTTGTTCTGAGAGAGAGGCACAGGAGAGTTTTAGCTCCAAATTGAAAAGGCATCTGGGAAGCCAGACAATAACGACCACATATTGTGTTATTACATTTAAAAATATCCAGAAGATTGTAATTCCTGCTGCTTGAGAGGCTGAGGCAGGAGGATGGCAAGTTCAAAGCAAGCTTCAGCAATTTAACAAGGCCCTGAACAACTTAGTGAGAATCTGTCTCTAAATAAATAAATAGATAAATAAATAAATAAAATAAAATAAGTAAAAGGGCTGGGGATGTGGCTCAGTGAGTAAGTGCCCCTGGGTTCAATCCTGGGTACCAAAACACAAAAACAAAAACCCAAACAAACAAAACAAAACAAAAAAACAATCCAGAAGAGCAGGCATGGTGGCACATGCTTTAGTACCAGCTACTTGGGAGTCTGAGGCAGGAGCATTGAGTTGGAGGCAAGCATGGGCCTCCAGGAAATTGAGAAGAGGCCAATCTATAGACAATAGAAGCATGAAATGATTGCTCAGGGCTGGCAATGAGAATATGCAGTGGATGTAAATGAGCACTAGGGATCTTTCTGGGATAACGGAAATATTCTAAATTTAGATAGTGTTGATGGTTGCACAAGTTCATAAGTATAATATTGAATCGTACAGTTAAAGTGGGAGGATATTATGGTATGCAAATTATACCTCAATAAAGTTGTTAAAAACAAACAAAAAAACAAGCCACCATATCTAATAAAAGAATTTTAAAACAGGACTCTGGACTGTGAAAGAAGAAAGTTCACCAAAGAATCAATTGTGAGAGCAGGAGCAACTCCAGGAAACCAATTGTCAGTGAAAATAACCTCAGGATTCATAGAGAGGCTTTAGTTCTTGGAAAGACTTGCAAAGGTCCAGGCAAGTACTTTAATGATCAGCCCCAAGCTCCTGTTCTTCCTCGGTAATCTCCCCGTCCTCAGAAGTTATACTTTTAATATAATTAGAACAGGGTGCAATATATGATAGTGGTGTCTGGTACAAAGTAAGTGTTAAGTAAATGTCACCTGTTATTATCTTTTCCATCCAGATTATTAAAACAAGCTCTTTATTCAATCTCCTTGTATTAAGTCTCTCTCATTCCTCTAGTCCATCATTTTACCAGCCACTTGATATACCCTACCTCAAAGAACATGTCACTGCAGCAGGCAATGCATGATGGGCTGGATTGCTCCCTGAACAAGCTGCTGGGTACACTGCTAAGGAAGTCTGGAGAAATGCCTGGAGACCCCGAGTTACCCAGCAATGAATATCATTCATGTTGAACAAAAGCAGGGACTTACAATGTTTAATTTTACCCAAGCCCTGTGCTCCTGGAAAACAGGGCCAATTAAGAAATACTTTCACTTTTTTGTTTTCTAGGAAACATTGCAAAGAACCACCCTCTCCCTGTTACTTGGATAAGACCTCCTTGTTTACCTACAGACGCAGACCCTCCAAATTCCCATTCTTTGCCTCCCAAGTGATTAGATAAACTGTACTCGCTGACAAATCAGGACAATATACCTGTTCCCTTGATTTGACTAAAGTTAGTTAAGTTTTTCTGCTTACCCCAGGCCCTTTAATTTTGACCCATCCTTGGTTGAGCCAACACACAATGACTCTTTAATGGCTCGTTTCTTAGGGGGAAAAATTCACTGTCCAATCCCCATACTATTTCATTCCAGTTCTCCCCTCCTAGTTCTTTCCATCCTTGTTCATTTCTCCTTACAAAATAATAGTTAACAATTTAAAATTTAATTAAAAAAGGATAGAGAACTGTGTCCTTAAAGGAACAGGAGATTAGGATACAGACATGCATGTGCATAGAAGAGTGACCATGTTTGAGCACAGTTGGAAACTGGACATCTGCAAGCCATGAAAAGAGGACTCAGAAAAAAAAAAAAAAACAAACCTACCAACATCTGGATCTCTGTCTCCCAGAACTGTGAGCAAATAAAATTCTGTTGTTTAAGCCACCCAGTCTCTGGTATTTTATTGTGACAGGCCTAGCAAACTAAGACACTTCTCAAATTTGTTTGTTATTCTTACATAGGAGCACTGTGTATTGTTTTATTATTTAGCATATGTGCTGTCAAAGTGAAGAAATATACATGATTTTTTCATTTGAAGCTATGCCCCTCCATGCCTACAGCTTTTCCTGCTTTATCTTCAGATCCCCCTTTTTTTTTCCTTTTGCTTAGTGAATCTCAAAGGACAACTTTGAAATAAATAGATGAATGTAAGGAAATGTAGTAGAGTCAAGGAAGGAGAACAGGGGAGGGGAGGGAAGACGTTAGGGAAGATGGAAAGGGAAAAGGGGGGATCATGAACTGAAATCAAATTCCATGCGTGTATGAGTTTATGGGGATGAACCTAACTACTGTATATAACTGTAAAGCTCTAATAATAAAAAATGAATGAATAAGAAAAGAAAGACAGCCTTGACAACAGAAGACAAAAAAATTGATGGTCAAATTGATAGAAGTCCTGTACTGTTCTCTTTTCTTCAACCCCTTAAGTGAACAATGCAGCTTGCTTCTTTTCTAATCATACTAAAAAATAATTCCTGAAAGTTGGAGATATTGGATAAGAGGACAGAGAAGGAGTTGGTCATTAAAGTAATAGCTTGGTCTACTACAAAGTCTTTCCAAGACCTAAAGCCATTCAGTGAGTCGTGAGGTCATTTTCAAGGACAGTTGATATTCTTGGTGCTGCTGCTACTCTTATAAGTGCTTCCTTCTTTGACTTTTTTTCTCTAATAGACTGAATTTGTAGTTAGACTCCTTCATGCCTCACCTTCAGGGCCCTAGTCTTTCTCCTTTTTACCCAGTACACATGAAAAAATTCAAACAGAATGTTAAAGGGAGAGAATTTTTAGTTAGAAAAATCAGATAGAGATAAATAACTCAATAGGGCTAAAGCCTCCAATTTTTTCTGAGCTCCACCACTGCTTTTGTTTTTGTGTGTTGTGTGTGGATAGAACCCAGGGCCATATTCAGCACAGATTCTATCACTGGGCTACATTCCCAGTCACTCCACACATTTTTTGTTTTTTAAGACAGGGTCTCACTATGTTGCCCAGGCTGATCTCAAACTCCTGGACTTAATCCATCCTCCTGCCTCAGCTTCCCAAGTAGTGGAACTACAGGTGTGTACCACCACGACTGGCTTTTAGAATGTCTTAGTTAATTAATTAGTATCCTCTAGCCTAACACCAGGAGCACATCTATAGTTGAACATGTTGAGTTTATTACTCATTGCAGCATGGGCGATGTTATCTCATTTAGCAGATATTTGAGAGGCTTCAAAACAGGACATGGGCTTGTTCTAGGTAATTGGGGGTGGGTTTAAGGAAAAAAGACTCTGGAAGCTGGTCATGGCGTTGCACACCTATAATCACAGCAATTTGGGAGGCTGAGGCGGGAGGATCACGAGTTCAAAGCCAGCCTCAGCAAATAGCGAGGCACTAAGCAACTCAGTGAGACCCTGTGTCTAAATAGAATACAAAATAGGGCTGAGGATGTGGCTCAGTGGTCAAGAGACTCTGAGTTCAATCCTCAGTATCAAAAAAAAAAAAAGGATTTGATGCTATTTAACTCTGGATTTGATGCTATTAAGAAATGGAGATTAGGGGATGGGGCTGTAGCTCAGTGGCAGAGTGCTTGCCTAGCATGCATGAGGCATTCATTGGGTTCAATCCTTTGCACCACATAAAAATAAACAAATAAAATAAAAGCATTCTGTCCATCTACAACTACAAAAAATTTTAAAAAAAGAAATGGAGATTATTCTATTATTGGTTAGCTCAGTAACTTATCTAAAGGGAAGGATGAGTTTGTGAGGCTAATGTTGTAGTTGGTTAAGAGTGGGAGTTATTTTAGCTGAGAAGAAGACATTTTCATATTTTGAAGATTGTAGAAAGGCATAGTTTTTGTTTGTGCTTAGAAAAATTTAAAGAGTAGTCTTGTTTAATTTTACATTTTCATAGTCTCAGATTGACCTTGTCTGATGTTGGTATTTTATGAAATTGTTTATGTCCACCAGGAGAATAACAAGACTTTGCTGTGAATAGCAGGCAAGCTTCCAACAGTGTCAAACCAATTCTTGAAAATCAGTGGAGATTTTTTTCTTCCTCAAGTACACACACACACACACACACACACACACACACACACATATATGTATAGGTCTGTATATCTCAACCACTTGGTAACTTTAACATTTACTCTATGTAGTTCCCCCATTCTGTCTCTTTGCTTCATCCCTGGAGCTAACTACTGTCATGAATTTTCTGGTTATTATTCTTTTTTAAAGTTTCATATCTAAGCTTAAAATTTATATTGTATAATTTTGCATTTTTTAAATTAAGTAATTCACTTAAAGAATATTGTGTTATATATTTTTTCAGGGCTTGGTTTTCTCACATAGTGTTATTTTACTATTATCAATCTATGTTGCTGCATGTAGTTCTATTTCATTCCTTCACATTGTTGTATATTATTCCATTATACAAATTTACCATATTTTGTTATGAATTATTCTGTTCTTAGGAATTTGTTATTTTGAAGTTTTGGCTTTTACAAATAGTGTGTGTGTGTGTGTGTGTGTGTGTGTGTGTATATATATATATATATATATATATATATATATATATATATCCTTATTATTGACTCATTCCCTATATATTAAAAGGTTTCTTTTGTAAGAAGAGGAATTGCTAGTTTATATATATGTGAATGTTCAATGTTCAGTTCTAGAAACTAATATCAAATTGTTTTCAAAAAAATTTATATAAACTTACAGTCCTACCAGTAATGTAGAAGAGAACCTAGTGATCCAAATCCTCTCCCACATTTGGAATTACCACATTAGTTTTTGTTAAATGTATGCAAAATGGCATATCATTTTAATCATGATTTGCTTTTCTCAGATCACTAAGGAGAGTTTAATTCCATATATTTTATAGGCCTTACGTGTTTCTTCTTGTGTGAAATGCTTTTTTTTCCAAGTTTTTCCTATTTTTCTATTGGGTTATTTGTCTTTTTATTAGTGGTTTGTAGAAGTTCTTCACATTTTCTTGATTCTGATGCTTTAATATATCAGTCATTCAAATGTTGGTGGAGTATGAGGGAAAGAAAGTATTAGCAAATGCAACAGATTGACCCACTTTGCATTAAACAGACTCTTGTACTTCTTCCACAGTAACTTCCCACTTTTCTTAGAATAAAAGCAAAATCCGTACAGTGGAGTATAAACCTCTTGTTATTTAAAAAAAAATTCATTTCATGGAAATGAAGATAGCAGAGTGGATCTAGACAGCAACCCTCAAGCCATCCACAGCCCAGAAAGGAAGCAGTGAAAAAACAGATCACCAGAGAGAGGTGGGTGACTCAATACTGGACAGTTTGAGACTTAATGGGACTTGGAGTTTGGTTACTGTAGCAGAAAATAAGGACAGAATTCCTTGACCTCTGTTTGGGGTTAGGGAGAGGGATAATAAAGAGAGAATGAGGGAGAGGGAAAGCACATAAGCTCACTTCCTTAGCAACAGCTGGAAAGAAAAGCAGACCAAATCGAAATGGGACAGGAGCAGCAAAGATAGTGAAGGAGATCATGCAGTTTAACCCAAACTGTGGACTGAAAGCTGCACCTGGCAGGGCTGTCATTTTGTAGAGTGCATAGTTAGCCAGCCTACCCAGAGATGTACAGACCCAAATTAAATAAATACAGCCTTTACCCACCTACAGATAGTAATGAATAAAACCAAAGGGAATGCCTCTGAAATAGGTTGTCTCAGTAATCTGTCTAGAAGGAAATTGTAGAGGGATTGCTGCTAGCTGAAGGTTACCAAAAATAGTTGACCCGAGAGCTAATCACTCCTGGGGAATGTTATCCCCAATATGGTGCTTCACACAGCCTCAGCAGGAGCTCAGGTGATGGCAGACCAATTGACATCCTGTCTCCATCCCAGTGATGGGTAAAACCACAGTGAGCTGTACCAGCCAAGGTCTACAGATGACCCACAGAGAGTCTACACCCACAGTTCGTACAGTTTCAGCCAGCTACCAAATGCTTACATAGTGCCGCCCACCTTGAAGAAGACCCAGCAGTGGGGAGCAGGTGCCTGCAATTCACAACCATGGGCAGTAGGAATTCAGACACAGGCAGGCCAACAGATTCTCCATTTCAGTCACGGGGACAGTACTCCAGTGATCTACATCAGACAGGTTGGAAGCTTCTGCAAAACAGAACACCCACAGAGAGCCTGAAATCACAGGTCCCACGCTTGCAGATGGCCACCAACTCTATGCCACTTTTAAAAAGGCCCTGTGGAGGGGAGCAGGTGCATAGCTTTCCATAGCAGTCAGCATCACAGCCATGAACCCTGCATCCTGTGCCCTCGCACATAATAGAAACAGTTAGCAGATGCATCACAGCACTCTCTAAGCATGCAGGCATGGGCCCTGGGCTGACAAACAAGAAATCACGGTGAGAAATCCATAGCAACTGGGGAAGTAGCTTCTGTGCCGCAGCACCTCTAGGATGATCCACAGCTGCTAGTCTGAGAATTTCCAGTTAATTCAATTCTCATTTAGATGTACAGACCCACAGAAGGCAATTCCTGAGGATAATTCCAAGAAGCCAGTAGAGAATCTGCTGCATATACAATGACACTATATCCCACAAAGGGGCTTACAGAGGAGCAACTCACAAACACTAGCCACCAACTAGTGAGCTTAGATACAAGCCCACTGACCTGTAACCTGCGCACTCCAAGGAGGGCAGCAGCCTTACCCCACCCCCACCACAGACCATCCAATGCCACATCAAACAGACTATAATACCTCTACCGTGGACTGCCATACCTTGTATACTCCGAAATATACATGGGGTAGCCCACAATGGATTTGACAGTGCTGAATGCACAAAGCTACACAAGACTACATGTCCTAATAGAGTAACTGGG